GGGACAACTTTGAAATATTAAATATGAACCAGTATTTTTTTATTGCAGATTAGGATTCTCTAGAAAATAGGTTTATGCATTTTGCATTTTAGATGGTGCTGTAACCGAGAAAATCAAAATAGGGTAGAAACTGTTTAAGATTATGATAGCTCGAGATGCATCAGATTGAAAAAAATAAAATAAAATAAAACTGAAAATGTTTTTTTTTAATTTTTAGTTTTATTTATTTTATTTGCTGTTGGTATTTTTGATAAAATTTTTTTAACGTGTTTATTTTTTTCTTATTGATATGATTATTCTCACCATTATTAAATGATGGTATCTCGAGAAACATCAGATTGAAAAAATAATAAAATAAATAAAACTAAAAATGTTTTGGTATTTTTTTATTGGTAAAATTAATGAAAATATTAATCACATTCTTTTAACGAGCTTATTTTTAACTTATTGATCTGTTAGTCTCTCCATTTTAAACAGCTTGTACTCCATTTAATTTTTATCGGTTACAGCACCATCTGTAAAAAAAATGCATAAACCTAGAACTCATATAGGGTTAATTTTTTTCTGGATAATTCGAATCTGCAATAATAAATGGGGTTTTATGTACTTGAAGTTTCAAAGTTAGCCCCCATTCCCCCCAAATAGGGCAGAGATGAAAGATAGAGTTTGGTATTACAAGATAGCTTTGAAGAATCAATGAATGATACAATCGAAACATCAATATTAATAAATATATGGTTTCATTTAATAACCTATTAAGATTACAGCAAATTCATACCGTATTATAAAGCAAGGTCTCTGTGATTTAACTGTAATTCAGCGATTTTGCGGCAAATATAATGATAAAAATATTATATGATATGACGATATCTCAGGATTTTTATTTCATAAAGCTTTACAAAATAAGTACCGGTATCCTCAGTACGATAATTTTTAAATTTTCCTTTCTCTAGAAATATTTTAATGATTCCATTCACAATTTTGATTTCATCATTGCATATATGTCTGAGATTTTGTATACATCCTAATTCAAAAATGTTTTGATCATCATTTAGGAAATTCATCAAGAAATTGTTAATATTTGCAAAAATGAGCCTTATCATCATAATTATAATCGTCGTTGAACAGCCAAATAAATTTTTAGTTTACGACTACAAATGTTCACCTCCGTAGCCTTGTAATATTGAACCCAATCCAGAAGACAAGGGAAATCCTTGATTAAGTATTTGGAGATATTTGCCATGGTGGGGGAATTTTTGATGGACTCGTATTTGCGTTACTTGGAGAGGAGTAGTGCTAGTTTTATCATTGTGTGGTTTCTAACCAATTCTGTAGATGAGGCGGATATATATATAATAATTTTAGTGNAACACAAAATTTTTAGTATTCTAAATAAAAACAGAATAGGAAAATAAAAATTCTTGTGAAATTGTGTTACAGTTTAAGACTTTATCTACAGTTCGATTTTAAAAGTTTTTTACTTCCAAGTCTTTGAATTTTACGATGACTAAAGTTCTTATTTCAATCTTTTCGTTCTATTCCATTGGGTCACTAGAGAGAAAAATAAAAGAACACTTTCATTTTGAAAGTAAACGATATCTTAAAGAGTTCGAATTTGCATTCCCATCACGGAGAAAACGATATAAAAAAAAATGAAAAGGCAATAAAATCAATAAGCAAACAATCATTGCAAAAACTAACAAGAGCGATAACATCGCTCGACAAGGTGTTATTTTACACGTAGTAATTGGCAACACGGTAAAAACTAGCCGGCGGCAGACGACTTTGAATACCTTATGTCAGTAATTCAAACGATATCACATTGCAGAATTGATAACAGGTGTTTTTTAAAACATTTCATTTGATCAAACATTTTGTCGTCTGGCATGCTGTCATGCATGGCAACATCTCAACAAGAACATATTAAATATACACTTTTATTTTTGCTTCTTTTTATTTTATGATCATTGAATTTCATTATTTATTTTGTCCCCGAATGTTTTGTGCAATTTTTCTGTTTAAAGAAGAACTGAAAATTTTTAATTGATTATATTAAAATGATATTAAAATTTTAATACCCTAAGAACTACAAATAATTCTCGATATATCTCCCTGTCAGCAAAGCCTATTTATTTTAGCATTGGGCAATATTAAAGCATCCAAACGAAATTTATCAGTATCGCGATAATATCGTACTCGATATAACTGTATTGGTAATAGCATATTCCATAATTCTCGTCTTCGTTTATTACAGAATATTACATCAGAAAATGCCGCGAGTTGTATCAAAGTCGATAATTATCGTGTATTCGATATTTATCGTAAATACTAAAATATTGATATAGTAAGGTTTAGAAAACAACAATGTTTTAAAACGTATCGATACAATGCATTATAAGCATTCATTTGTTTATTTTAAGTAAATAACTTGAATTCCAAAGACGAATAATAAAAAGTATGATTTTGTATATTTTAATTATTTTATAATGATTTCTCTTTTTATATTATCTATTCTTATATTTTGTGTTAAAAAACAAGAGTTATCCATAATTTACAGCGGGATAGATAAAAACGTGCCATTTTTAAAGGAATAAAATGCAGCATATGAAATCATAACCATTAATAATATATTCGGTATGGAGTGTATGCTTTATAACGCCTAGTGTATACCTAAACGTTCGAAGGATTATATATATATATATATATAAAGAAAAGATAAGAAAATTTTACGGTTAATTGGATGGGCAGTTATTTTACCATAATTTTAGACAGAAAATTCCAACAGTGTTCTTATTGCCATACATATAGGAAAAAAATTATATTGGACAGAAGAGTAAATTTAAGCGAATAACTGCTTTTCATATTGTGTTCCAAGGTATCATGAAGAATTTTACAACTTTTGTAAAATTTTATCCCATGTTAAAAAACCATACTTTATTGAGAATTTTACGAAACGTTATAACCAAAGCGATGATGCAAAAATTTCCCAGATTTTTGGTGTTCCCCTAGAGGCTGGAAACACGGTAAATATATCATATTCTTATGGTTTTCATCATAATTTTTTTCTCAGTGTGCGTGGATATAAAAAAATCAGTTTACTCTTAGTTAAAATAGATATTCAAAAAAATACCTTAAGTGTGATAAAAAAATAAGATTGTCAATGATAATTTACATTTTCTAAGCATTTAAGATTATTACATATTTCTATCTCAATAATATAATGGACGTATATGTGAGATTGGTTCATGTGTTAGTATATTTAAGATAATTTTAGTATATGTGAGATAAGACTTCATAGCAACGACATAAGTTGAAGAAATTGTATGCCAATAAATGAAGGGGGATGATGAAAAGGGACATTTTCAAATTTTTATACCAACTAGTGATGGAAAATCAATTGTTTTTGAAAATTTTAAGATTTTTATTAATAAAATTTTTTTTAGATATGTAGCATATCTTTAAAAGAATCTACATTTTGAAATTTTCATGATGTTTATAACGGCAATTAAATAAAATTTTTCTAGAACATATAATTGATGCAAGCTATTAACTCTTTACCTTTAATTCATGTTAAACTACGGGTAATGTAAATTACCCACACCAACATAAAATATGCAAAAATTATATTATTTTTAATGTACATAATTGTTATTTACATGTGCTAAAATACTTCGTTAAAGCATTGAATTGCCATTGTTTATAAATTTTAATAAATTATTTGTGAGATGCATAGTTTCATGCAGCCCTCGTAAAGCAATTTTTCTTCTTCTTATAAACCACGTTAATTTTTATTTTTACCGTTCTTCCTTATGAAAAGAATGAGAATTAAAGATCTCCATTCTTTGATACATTAGAGGCGTGTATCATTTTTTATGTCTACTCTCATTAACTATTTAAAAATGCATTAAATATACTCATATATCTTCTATGTACTATTTAAAAAGTAAAAACTTAACAAAAATTATATATTTAATTTCGTTACATGAATTATATTACAATGCTGCAATAACGCCAGGTTTTTTAGTATTTGTCAAATACTAAAAAATCTATCATTATTATACCTATCATTATTTAAAACTATATTTAAAACTGTTTTCAAAATTATGCGCATATTATTTTACATTTGCTTATTATTTACTTATTATCTTTTCAAATTTAAAAAAGTGTATTTTTCAATTTCATTAAGTTTAAATAAAGTGAACTCAAATATATATGTACATATATTGTAATTTTATTCAAGCATTTTTCATATTTTTTACGGTGTATCATTTAAAATTTTAAAAAACAAAACAACATGGAAATAATCATGAAAAAAATATATTTATACTTTTTAGATCTCTTGAGATTCAATACGCGAAGAAAATAAAATCATTTCTTTTATCTAGTTCCAATAGAAAGAGAAAAAAATTTCACCATTAACAAGAAAATTAGTAGCATAGAGAAGACTCAAAATTTTCATAATAAATAAATTTTTTAATAAAGTTGAAGAACTTCCTGCTTTTTATTGATAGAGAGAGCTTAAAAAAATCCTCATGAATCGTAAAGAACTCAAAACATAACATTGAATTTTTTTGAATTTGAAGAATCATTCATGATCATTATTATTAGAATCACAGATGAGTGAAGTTAATATTAGTTCACATTCAATCTGCCCTCTGATAATAAAAACCTAAAAATCAAATTTTAATACCAATCAGTATTCTATCATACCTTTTCACAATCATTATATTACTTCCAAAAATCAACCAAACAGTTTACACAATAATCTATGTAATATCTCAAAAGTGCAACATTTAATCAATAATATTTATTAAAAAACACCTAATACCCACCAATTCACACTTCAGATTTAAAATATATTATTTTTTAAGAACAATGCATACAAAATTAGTTATTGCATTTATTTACTACTAAATTTATTTATTTAATTATTATGAAAGAAAATATATTTATAGATATGAAACTTTAAATATTATATCTAAATTTAAAAATTTACTTACCAATTGTATAGTTACTTCTTAGTTAGAGAGCAGACGCCACCACGTGGAAGAAAAGTTGCTTTTCTAAACTTCAAATTTGAAGAAAACTGCGCGAAATGTCCGAGGAAGAGCTTACAAGTTGGTCTTCCTTTTGCATCAAGCGCCATCCAACGTTCTGTGTCCCAAAACGTAATCAATGGACCCCTCTCAAAAGGATTGGATATGCGCACGCATATTTTGGCACACCCGCTGTGTGACGTCAGAGTGGTGTTCTTTTAATCGGGGGCATGAAATGGGTCATCTATGAGTCGGCAAGTCATCAAATCGATGTAAAACTTCCATCGTGGGCGTTAATATGAAAAATTGTTGAGTATTTTACATAGAATGACGTAATATTTTCACTATCTTTTTTGTGTAAAGGATATCATGAAATAAAACTCAATTCAGAAAAAAAAAATATGAGACCATTTTTCAGTAGTTTTAACTTGTATTCAGTAATAAAAAAGTAAAATTAGTTCCAAAAAAAATTTCTTTTTTTTTTTAAAAAGTAGCTCATCCAAAGACCAAGAAAATAGTTTTTGGAAACTTAAATCAATCAACGTAAGATTATCGATTTCTTTACCAGAAATAATAAACACTCCATTTTTTAATGTAATATTTTACAGGTCAAAATATATAATTTAAGAAAATACACATATAAGAAAAATGCAGTTACATCAGATTTAAGTCCAAGATAGGACCTTTAAAACAATTTTGAAATGGGTTCTGGCGGTTTTCTTGCAAAGCAAAATGGTTTCTCCTTTATTTTCATTTCATGATTTGGTTGTAAAACACTTTTTTTCTCGATAAAAACTCCAATGAAACTGAATATAAATTAGGAACTAAAATCGAAAATCATTACAATAAAAAAGGTGTCGAGTCAAATGTGTGATTTCATATAAATAATTAACTAATTGAATAAGCAATTCATAGAATTATTTCAATGTTAAAATATTTCTGAAAAAAATACTGTAAGATTTAAAAAAAATTCGTAAAAATTAAGAAAAGGAATAAGATGCAATCGCATTTTTTAAATTTCTCAGATGAAAAGTTCATAATATATGCTTTGATTGTGACATTAAAAATTAATATCAATTAATCGAAGGGAAATTTAATTTTATATTCATAAATATTTTAAGTTTTTAACGATGTAGAAAAATAAACAACGTCTTAAGAATATTTCTGATTCGTTTTTTCATTTAATCTTATAGCTTCTTGAATAAACTAGATTTTTTAATAAATTTTAAATTGTCTCAAAATAATTTTTGAATAATATATATTTTGATTTTTTGGGAGTTGAAATTAAAATAGGTAATATTAAAAAAAGGATTTTTTTTCTTGGAATTAGGACTGCATCTACTCCCGATACTGAGAGGCTAGAGGCCTTTTGTTCAATTTAAATTCTTGATTTAATTTTTGTGTTTGAGGTTTCGCTTTTGTTTTTGCATTTTGTATATTTCATCTCTTTCTGCATTTGTATTTGTCTTTTCCTTTGATCTCTGGCGTTAGGATAATGTCTGTATCGCCTGCTGCGATGGAAATAAAAATAAAAAAAAATTGGGGAGTTATGTAGCTTAATAAATATTTTCATGGTTTCAATAGCTTAGAATATATTTTATTCTCCTAGATAGATAACACTTTTAAACGAAAACAATCAGAATAGCTTTATTTGGATTTCCTTCAAAATTTAGATTAAAGGAAATGGTTCAAATTGGCAGATGTACTTTAATTTCGGGAAAGTAATATTTTGTAGATAAAGTTTGAAAACTTTAAAAAGAAATTAAAAGTTAAATATTTGTATGCCGTAAAAGTTGCTGCAAAAATAGATATAGATAAATAGTGTTAATTCTTACGCTTCTGCTATCACTAAAATTAAGTTAAAAATATATTAGGTTTCCATTTACGAGAATTTTCTTAAAGAATTATGAGATGCAATTATAAGATGATTAAAAATATCTATTAAAACTTTAGCTATTTGAGTTTAAAATTTTTAAAAGAACTAACGTTTTGAAAAAAATAGTATAATTAGGCTATATGTGAGAACTGAGCATTCACAAAATTGTTAGATTTACTTTGATTAAAAATTGATAGATTTACAAAAATGTCTCAGAATTCTCATAGTAGATATTATTTAATATTGAAATATAAATTTAATTATTCTCCAGGAAACGGATATTATTTTTTAATGTTTGAAATTGATTTTTTGATAACTGGCTTCTGAAAACTATACCTCTTTGCCACTTTTGGTAGTATCTGTAACTTTATGTAAGGGTGTAATTACCTGTCGAAATTTTATTGGGATTTCAAAACATTATTATAATAATAATATTTTATATATATATA